GAAATTTTGAGTTTATTCATCAGCCCCAACTTTTATCAATAACTTTAAGCCCATAATTTCCGCTTTCGTTTTGTAAGAATATAATTATTTTAAGTAACTATACATATTATGTGTGTTTACGTACTATACTGGAACGGAAAAATTTCAATCGAAATAATATGAATCTTTTATGATTTCCAGCATTTTGTTTTCATTTTGTTGTGCATACTATTAAAAAATCTTTTGAACTCAAAACAAAAATTTTTGTTTAAAATTTTAGAATTTATTGTTGTTTGCATACTTTTAGGGATATATTTTATTTTGAATATCATAAGATTCTTTTGATAAATTTAGTATTCTATAAAAATTTTTTAATTTTAAGTTTTCATTTAATTAATAGGGTCTATAAAATTTAAGTGATTTCAAAATACGGCTACATTTATGTTATTGTTGATGTAAATTACGGATTTGTTTAAATTTATTGCTCAATTATACTAACATACATATATACATACGTTTTTGTCAGAATAAGTTTTTAGTTTAAAAATAATTTTATCTACAGGTGTTGCATTTTCATTTAAATAATGCACTTTATTTTTAATTTATTTTAAAAATTTCTTGCATAGTTGATAAATATTTACAATTTCTTACTATGTAATCAATATATAATGAATTTGTTTACAATATTTTTGAAAGAATTTTATTTTTAAACAATTTTTATCTTGAAGAAATTTTTTTTTTTCATTTTACAAAGACTTTTATGGACTGATCAAGAGATTCCATTGCGGTCTTTAGATTCAATGACCGCATTATTATAAATTTGTGTTCAATTTAAGATTTTAAAAGTTGAAAATTTTTTGCCTTTCATCAATGGTTTGTAAAAACTTTTGAGAATAATAATTTTATAAATGTTTATATAATATAAACATGCATATTATATACCTTTTATGAGTATTAGGAAATTTAGTTCTTTTTGAGTTTTTTTGTTGTGTATTGTTGATATTTATTAAAATAATTGAAACACAATTCAAATTTAATAAAATAAATTAAAATTATTCAATTTAAATTTTTTTCATTTTATTTAACAAAAAAAAAAATCAAATTCTTTCTAATTTATTCTATATATAGGAAAGAATGTAGATTTATTATAAATGTATACACTCTTTGTGTACGTTCACTACCCTTATTTTGTCTACATAATAAAATAATTATATATATTTATGTATATATATTATTATTATTATAATAACACACTATACTTGTATTATATGCAATAAAATACAGGGTATCCCCTTGAATAACTATAATACTCGTATTAATATAAATACATATATGAGTGACAATAGTCAATATAAATATATGAGTGACAAAATTCTAACATAAATATTAATTTGTAAAAAAAATTTTTAAACTGTTTTTAACACATTTTTAACATATGCAACACAAAAAAAAAATTCTAATTACTTTCTCTCTGTCCGCTAGCTGATATATCTTAAGATATATCTTTCATTTAAGATCACAGTTAAAACTTAATGCGGCGAAATCGGTTTTATATAATAAAATCTAATGTGGGAAATCTATTTCTTCAGATAACGCTTTTTCTTCCCGTCTACCCTGTAAAAATATAATGCCGTTAAAGGCTTAGAAATAATTTTTTGTGAAATTTTTTTCAGTTGCTTCTATAAATTGTATAGACAACCCGTATTTGCTTAAAATCGTTGATTTGACGAAAAATTTCTTGTGGTTTTTATTTTTTTTAAATAAGTTTTTTTTTATAGAGTTACCATGAAAATATAAGAATACATAACTTTTTGATTATACATAATATGACATTTTTTTTTCATTTGTTGAATATTTGCAATCCTTTTGAAATTTGCAAAAGAATTTAATATTTTAAGACAACTGACATAATTTAAATTTTAAACCTAAAAGAACTGTGAATCTGATACAGCAAACACATAATATATGGAAGACATACTAGTATCATACACTTAGTATCATAATAACCTATATTTATATAAAAAAAACTACACTAAAGTTTTGACTTTTATTTTATTCACTGCAGCATATTTAATGTGAAAAATATAAATATCACAATTTATTAAAAAATAATATACATACGTACATATATGTGCATATGTTTTTATTATATGTATATATTGATGTGTGTATTGTGTATAGAAGCGTATTATATATTTCAAATTATTATATATTATACATGATAACAAATAAAAGTGAATAATAATTTCAATATTAAATTTTAATGCAATTTCAATTTTAAAGATTTAATAGAGTTGAAACTGTTTAAATTTGACCTATATGAAAATTTAAATTATGTTAAAAGTATTATACTATAATAAATCTGTACACTTGTATATATTATGTATATGTTTCTGTATTAATATATAAATAAATTAATTTAATATAATATTTTTTAAAAATACAATAATAATGCATACTATGGTTTGTGTTTATTGTGTATACAATGTTTATACATATACAAAATATTTATAAATTTAAGATGATACAATTTTAATTTGTATATAATTTAAATAGTTTACGTATGTCAAATAAAAATATTTTATCCAAATTGTTAATTGATATTGCAATTCTTTGTTAAGAGGTATATCATTCTAAATTTTCCATATAAAGTTAAGCCTTTTCTATAATTAAATATGCAGAATTATCTGAGAATGTTATTGCCTCCTTTTCACTTAAAGTTATTTTAACGTACAGGGTAAGCGTCCTACTTCTCTTAAGCTCTCATAATATATTTAAAATGATGTACATACATATAGCATAAAAAATTTTATGTAAACCCTTTGAAAATTTGCTCATCTTATTCATTTTTGTAGAAAGTTTGAATATTTTAATACCTCAATAATATTAATAATTTCAATTTATCCTCTGCACTGAATATGTCTTAAGAATAACATAAATGACATATTATATTATATATTTTATATGTTGTATAAAATTTAATGATATCAAATATAGGAAATTTTTCTTCTTACAAAAAAAAAAACAGCATACCATATGCACGCTTTGCCTATATGAATTCTTCTATTTAAGTGCTCATTTAATTAAGAAAAATTAAATTTAATTTAAAAATATTTTCACTCTTGCAAATTTAAGTATCTATTAAATTTCCTTGATTCTTATTTATGATAAATAAGTAGGACAAGAATTTTATAGTATATTTTCTGTATGTACGTATTCTTATATATAAAATTCTGGAAAATTTCAAATTATTCTATTTTTATTAATATACTCGTACTACACTCTAATTATTATAGAGGGTTTTACTTTTTTAAATTATAAAATTAAAAACATGTATACTTTAATTTATTTGAATATGATTTATTTAGAATTAAGTAGAATATTGTAAAGTTGAAAATATTGAAAAACCGGCATATATATAAGTAATGAGAAAATTAAATTTAATAATAGGATTAATTGATAAAAATAATAACATTTTATAACTGTTATATTATGTAATAAAAACCGTTTCGAAAATCTTATATATTTATAAAAATATCTTGATATAATTATATGTAAATTTAATTTTTGATAATTGGGCTGTTTAACGAATTAGACATTGTTCAAAGCTTTCAGAGTTTTATACATCCTCTTTCTTCTATAAATTCTTACTCTTTCTCTTTGAATTTATTGTATTTCAACGAAGAAATCAGAATATTGACCAGAACTTTCTGCAACATTACAGTCAATTGTGTATTCTATAAATTTAAATAATATTTCTCTTAAGTTCTTGTCTTAATTGAAATAGGTATACATATGTATAAAATATAATAAATATTAATTTACATAATATAATTATTTGTTACGCACGCACATTAATTTTTCTACAAACATGAATTTAAGTACATACATATTAATTAAATTTCAATCAAGTATCAATTTAAGTTTTAAAAACATATGTTAAAAAAAAAAAAGATTAATTTAAATCAATTTAGTTATTGTGACACGAATAAATTTTTCATATATTATATAGCATTTAAATTAATTCTATATACTTAATAAGATAATAAATTGGTATTCACAATAAAAAGTTAGAATATTTTTATATGTATGAAGTGTAGTTTAGTATGGTGCTTTCCATAATAAAACGATATTATTAAAATTTAAGTGCTTTTTATTCTATATGTAAATTACGCATATTTAATTATTACATTTGAATTTTATTAAGTTAGTTTTTGAATATTTCAAAAAATAAAAAATTAAACTTCCTATTATAATTTCTCAACTGAATATTAATTTTTGAAGACGTTTATATAATTGTTTTTAATTGATGTATTCACTCATTCAAAGATCTGTCAGATGTACTTAAATTGTTGACACAGACGCAAGAAACATTCAAAAATTCATATCATTTTTCAAAATACTTATATATATACATATATGTAAGTAGATTTAAGAGGTTTTCAGCAAAACAATAACGTAATAGATATGCAATACATTTTTGACAAAAATTCCTCTTTATTGTTGATAAAATAAAAATTTTCAAGAGCAAAATTGGTTCTCAACATGCTTTTATGAAATACATCACAGTTTTTACTATAGTATCGTAATTTATTGTGTTTGTGAAGACTGGTATAATGAATAATAAAAATTGTAATGCAACTACGAAATACATCAATAAAAATTTTAATAATTAATAACCAATTTGCAGTCGTAGCATTTCTTTTTTTAATTTGGTCAAAAAAGGCAAAACTCCGTATTGATGTAACGCCATTAATTAAGTATTGATGACTAACTGCACATGAACCATAAAAATTACTTGATATCTTCGTTGCTCAGCTGTTAGTTTGTCCGATTAGAAATAAAAAACATTTCTAGCTTCTTGTTCTTGTTAGAATTATATTTAGTTCGAAAATTTCTTGTTATGTTAGAAATTGCGTCAAATGTTTTATGTATTGTCAAATTTTGTCAATTTATATTATTGTTTTTTTTTTTTAATTGAATGGGAGATTTTTATATTATTACACAATATTGCATTTCAGGTAAATGTCCAGCTCAATATTTTACATGTACTGATGGTAAATGTATTCCATTTGGTTGGAAATGTGATAGTAAATATGATTGTGTAGATGGCTCAGATGAATTAAATTGTGGTAATTATTATGCAATCAGAAAATTATTATAGTTGAATATAATATATTCATATATTTATTATATTTATTTTAAATTAATTCTATATCTAATTAGACTATGGCTTTTTCAAATTTCTGTGTTCTATAAAACTTTGCATTGCATTTAACTTTTTTCAACTATGTATTTTTTAATTGAAAATCAGTAAATACTATATTTCAATTGAATATAAATTTTTCTAATGTAATATACATATTTTGAAAATTCTCGTAATATTCTTAATATCTATGCATTTTTTTATTATTACACAATTCTTTACTTTGTCACAATGCCAGAAATTCGTAGCAGGAATTGACTCATAATCTCAAATTAACTATTCGAAAAATTAACACCTTACGAAAATTCTTTTGAAATTTAAATTCATTGTAACAATCAGTAATCTGTTTTACACTCTTTATTTTCATTGAAGAAATCTATATACATATATTTCATTTTCCCTACTAACAATCTGAACAGTACTCATTCATAAACAAGTATGGCTATTCCTTGACAGAAATAGCTAATTTTCTTGTAAATGTCATAATTTTAAAATAATTAAAAAAAAATAATCTACATACCATATTATTGTATTATTAATAAGCCATTTAATTTCCATTTTAGTAACAAATACAACAAAATGTAATGTTGGACAATTTAGATGTAAATCATCTCATAAATGCATACCAATTAGTTGGCAATGTGATGGTGATTTTGATTGCGGTAATAGCGATATATCAGATGAAACAGAATGTCCAAATACAAAAGGAAAATGTCAATCATATGAGAGTGAATGTGAGAATGGAATGTGCTTAGAAATATCAAAATTTTGTGATGGTACTTGGGATTGTGATAGCGATGAATATGATTGTGGTAAGATTTTGTTGAAAATATTTAGAAGTATAAATAACTAATTTAATTCTTAGTTTATCATATACGCAGATTTTAAAGTTGCTTTGAAATAAAATAGCAATTGTTAAAAATATATTGGGAAAAAATCTGTTTGGGGCGAAATAATTTTTTTAAAAAAAAAATTCTCTTATTTTCATTAAGAAATGTTAATATTTTTAATTTTTAGAAAAAGGACCTCCGTTATGTGCTAATATGCATTGTTCATACGATTGTAAATTAACAAATAAAGGAGCAAAATGTTTTTGTCCAAAAGGCTTAGAACCAACTGGTGGTAATGGTACTTCTTGTGCTGATTTTGATGAATGTTCAATAGAAGGGATGTGTGATCAAATATGTAAAAATAAATTTGGTTCGTACGAATGTTCATGTGTTTCAGGTTATGCAAAAAATGGAAATCGATGTTATGCTATTAATGGTAAGAATAAAAAACAATCAATTCGAATCTGAAATATTCCGAGTATATAAAAAACAAAATTATAAAAATTAATAAAAAAATTATGTTTTTGTTTTGTAGTGCCAAAAAATGAAATTGCTTCGTTGATTTTTTTAACTCAAGAAGAAATTCAAAAATTTTCACTTAGCGGCAGGGAAAATGCAACAACTATTCGAAAATCTAATGAAATTGCAATAGAAGTGTGGCATCGTAATCGTACAATTTGTACATTAATATTTAGAACATTATCATCGGCGTCGACATTACGCTGTCGAAAAGTAGATGCCTTAAATGAGACATGGGATTTTCAATTACCAGAAACATTAGTTAGCGCTTCATGTAATAAAAACAAAAAATATACATATAAATTTTGTGATATTTCATAAAATTTTTGAAAAATTTCGATTTGAATATTTCGTTTTTTTTTCTAGCTATCGAACAAATCAGATTAGATTGGATTAGTGGAAATTGGTATTTTATGAATACTGATTCAAAAATGATAATTTTATGTTCAAATAATTTAAAATATTGTCTCCCTGTGTTAAGAAGTTTAGTAAAGCCAACGTCCATGGCTCTTGATCCTACAAAAGGGTATGTAACATTGATTTCTAAATAGGTTTTTGTAAAATGATGTACTAAGATGATTAATTATATATAATATTGGTTAAATTTTAATTTCAGATTTTTATTTTATACCGATTATACTCCTGCTGTAATTCGTTCGTTATTGAACGGTAGTAATAAAACTGTGATAGTTAATACAACAATATATTATCCAACTAGTATTACTTTAGATTTAGCAAATGGCCATATTTATTACATCGATTTATATACAGACTTTGTTGAACGTGTAGATTATAATGGAAAAAATCAATGGTCAATTAAAAAGAGTATTAATGTAAATTGAATAATTTTTGTATAAATATTTTAAATTTCTTAAAAAATAGATTTTATTTTTAATTTTTTTTTGTTTCACTTAAAATAATAGACTCATTCGCTTTTAAAATCTATACATTCCATTGATGTATTTGAAAATACAATATTAATGTCTTCCTGGAGTGATAATAGTATAGTAACTTTGGACAAATTTTCAACACATGCTCATCGTATTTTACCTAATGTTAAGAGAGCTTATGATTTACGAATATTTCATCGTCAGAGACAGCCAGAAGGTAATAATTATCTTTTTGTGTTTTAAAATTTCTAAATACATTACATAAATTTTTAAAATATGTGTATTACAGTTGCTCATCCTTGTCGAGATCCCACTAATGGTAATTGTGAACAATTATGTATTCCATTATGGAAAAATAATGTTGCTATAGCACAATGTGCCTGTAAATCTGGATATAAAATAGTTGGGAAGACAAAATGTGAGCACAATAAGAAAGATACATTTCTGATATATTCGGAAAAGAAAACTAAAAGCATTAAGGGCATATCTATACCAACAACGGAACTATTTAATAATAGTGAAGATGATATTAGTGATGAAGTTATTGTTCCAATATCGAATATAACATCACCAACATTTTTTGATTATAATGCTAAAAATGAAAGTATATTTTTTATTGAAAAGGTTGCGTAAGTATTATTTTAAATATTTTACATTGATAACAATTTAAAAAATAATTCAAAATATTAAATTTAAAATAGAAACGATTATCAAATATTAAGTCAATATTTTAATGGCACAAGCCGATGGGTTGTTATCAAGAACTTAGATTTTTCAACTAATATCGCTTATGATTGGATATCTGAACATATATATTGGTCAAATCATAATAAAATATCAGTAGCATCTCTAAAAAACACAAGTCAAATATATTCTTTTTCAATTGAAAAGGATGCTTCGTCGTTGACAATTGATCCACATGAAGGCAGAATATATTGGTCACAATGGTTTGGCGTCAATGACGGTAAAATTAAAACTTCATGGATGGATGGAACTTATAAACAGGTATTGGCCGATTCAACAGAAAAACCAATGAAATGGCCACAAAGTTTGAATATTGATTTTATTGACAAAAAAATATATTGGTGTGATGCTGGTGAAAATACTATAGAACGAATGAATTTAGATGGGAAAGAACGTGAAATATTATTAAAAAATAATGCTTATAGTCCAATTTCGGTTGCTTATTATAATCAATATGTATTTTGGGTTGATAAAAATAAAGAGAATATATTTAGGTTTCATATAAAAACGGACAGAAGTGATATTAAATCATTAGCCGGAGTTATCTTTTCTGATGGTGGACAAGTTAATTATTTAAAAATTTTCAATAAAAAATTACAAACTGGTACGAATAATTGCAGTAATAAATGGTGCCCTGGTTTATGTTTGCAAACACCTCGTATTGGTGGTGGTGTATGTAAATGTCCCGACGGTACCTCATTAAGTGCTCACGGTAAAAGTTGTATAGCAAATTTAGACATTGATTTACAGTGGACAAATTGCACCAATGGTTTTGTTTGTCGTGATCAAAAGGAATGTATTGAAACAAAAGATCTTTGTGATGGAATTGAGGATTGTGATGACGGTAGTGATGAAGATTATAGTGAAAAAGGATCTTGCCATATTTTTAATTGTGATAGGAAATATAATTTTATTTGTGATAGTATACGTTGTGTGAGACGTAGCTCACTTTGTAGTAGAAGCTTGCCAATATGTAAAGATGGAACCGATCAAATGAATTGCACGGACAGAGTAAGTTAACTTTAATGTCATAAATTGTTAATTTTCAAAATATAAATTTCCGTTTATTAAATTATATTTTTGTAGATTTGTAACGAACATGAATTTACATGCCGCAAAACACGGAAGTGTATTCCACAAAGTTGGGTAAATGACGGCATAATGGACTGTGGTTCAGATGATATATCTGATGAAGAACTTTCCGTTCATACTGAATGTTCAGAGTTTGAGTGTAAAAACGGCTATTGTATTCCATTTTTAAATGTTTGTGATGGTTTAGATAATTGTGGGGATCAATCTGATGAAAAATTTTGTGATTCACAATGTGGTGCTAAAGAAAAATATTGTGTTCCAATTGGTTGCTATGATGAATCGCGTATTTGCGATGGCATACATGATTGTTTAGATTTTAGTGATGAATCAAATTGCAATGGTACAGAAATAAGGAGTGACAATGTACACCTTACAGTAAAACCACAACTCTGTGGGCATACAGAATTTGCCTGCCACGAAGGTTTTGAATGCATACCGATTCATCTTCAATGTGACGGTATTGCCCAATGTATTGACAAATCAGATGAATTGAATTGCAAGCGACTTAGACCAATCCCAACTCTTCCAACTAATATTAGTGCTAACTGTGAACATCCAGATAGAATATGTGCTATTTCTAATGAATGCATCCGAGTTGATCAATTATGTGATGGAAACATTGATTGTCCTGATGCTACTGATGAAGGCTTATGGTGCTCTAGTAAACTATGTGATCATGTAACTGATTGTTCTCATTTTTGCCATAATGCACCGGAAGGATTTGTTTGCACGTGTCCACAGCACATGTATTTGGAACGTAATGGTTCAAACAAATGTAGTCTTAGACATTCTTGTGAACATTGGGATACATGCTCTCAAATTTGCGAGCCTAATGGTAAAACTTATAAATGTAAATGTTATGATGGTTATACGTTGGAGTATGATAAATTTTCTTGTAAAAGTAATAATCCTGATGTTCCTTACGTTATATTTAGTAACAGGCAAGAAATTCGTGGTGTTGATTTGAAGACCGCAGCTGTTAAAACGTTTTATTCTCCGTTAAAAAATACGATTGCTTTAGATTTTTTATATTTGAATGATTCAATTGGCGTGTTTTGGGGCGATGTGATTGAAGATAAAATTTTTTTTGGTAATTTAATTGGTGATGCTATAGTAAATGTTAAAGCTATCGTACAAAATGGTCTATCCACTGCCGAAGGTTTGGCTGTTGATTGGATTGGAATGAATTTATATTGGATAGACAGTAATTTAGATCAAATTGAAGTTGCTTTGATTGATGGAAGGTATCGAAGGACATTGATTGCTGGTGATATGGAAAGCCCCAGAGCAATCGCATTGGATCCTAGAGAAGGTAAAAAACGAAACTAATAGTAAATATTATAAGTTGAGATTCTGCGAAAAGGCATTATTTAAATTTATTTTTAAATTCTTTCAAGGATTACTTTTTTGGACCGACTGGGATGAAAATTTTCCAAGAATTGAACAGTGCTCGATGGCTGGTGAATTCCGTAAAACGATAGCACATATGAGTCAAATAAATGGTGCTTGGCCAAATGGTTTAACTTTGGATTACACACAGAAACGTGTATATTGGGTTGATGCAAGATCAGACTCAATACATACAACGAGGTACGATGGCAGTGATCGTCATTTAGTGATCAGAGATAAAGAAACCTTATCTCATCCATTTGCAATAACATTATTTGAGAATTTCGTTTACTGGACAGATTGGAGAACGAATTCTGTAATACGAGCTAATAAATGGAATGGTTCCGATATACAAGTCATACATAGAACATTGACTCAACCATTCGGTATACAAATTTTGCATTCTAGTAGGCAACCACGAGACACATATAATCCATGTCAAAGTGAAAATGGGGGTTGTTCGCATTTATGTCTTCTTAGTGTTAACCAAACTTATAAATGCGAATGCCCACATGTGATGCGACTTAGCTCATATGATGGAAAATTATGCGTTCAAAATGAACAAGTTTTGCTATTTATTATGGGAAGCGAAATACGAGGAATAGATTTGATTCAACCAAACCATCATACAATCCCAACTATAAGTCATTCTCCGCAAGTTTTAGCGCCGCAACGTATTGATTTTTTGGTCGATGGAAATCGGCTTTATTGGTCAGACACACAACTGAATGAAGTTAAAACAGCTGGATTATCTGACGGATATATAGAAACTATTTTGAACACTGATGTTCAGAAACCATTAGGTTTTGCGGTGGACTGGATTTCCAAAAATCTCTTTGTTTCCTCTGCAAAGGAAAAATGCCAAATTTTGGCCACAAATTTGAATGGAGAATTTGTAACAGAAGTCCATCGAGATTTAAATATTGTACAAAGTATTGCTCTAGATCCAGCTAATGGACAAATGTACTGGTCTCATTCAGATAAAAGCAACAAAGTTCATGAAATCGAAGTCAGTTCAATGGATGGGTCAAATAGACAACTATTATTTAACGGTTCAAAATCAATGCAAAGTTTAGCAATCGACTTTGGTGATAGTAGAATTTATTTTGTTTATTTAAACTCAGGTATAATATCTTATCTAGATTTGCAAGATCTACGTGTGAATGAAATATTGTCATCAAGCGAAGTAATGTCAATTAGTAGTGTGACTGTTTATAATAACTCATTATATTTTCCTGAAAACATACAGAGTGTAATAATGAGTTGTGAAAAAGATAATTGTATGGCAAGTATGTCACCACTAAGGAAAAATACGAATAGTATTCAAGCGATTAAAATGTTTTACTTAAATGCTCAATTAGGCTCTAATTCATGTGCCAAATACAATGGCAATTGTGAACACTTATGTTTACCAGTCTCTGCAAAAGCACATAGTTGTAAGTGTGCTATTGGATTTGAAAAGGAATTAAGCGGTTCCAATAAGTGTATTGGAAAATCAGAATTTATTTTTTATTCCATAAGTCATGAGTTAAAAGGAATTTCACTGCCCTTAAAAGATGATATGGATGACATTTCTTCAGTAAGTATTTGAAATACTATAAAAAAATTATTTTTAAAGTTTTATTCTTTTACAGGCGCTGGGGCCTATTTCCCGAATATCATTAGCCACAAATATCGACTATCATGCGGCAGAGGATAGACTTTATTGGTCTGACAGTGAAAAAGGCACAATAACAAGAATTAAACGTGACGGAACAAATAGAGAAATAATATTAAAGCAAAGTGATCCATTTGATTTGAATGATTCTGATTGGTTGGGAGGAATTGCTGTTGATTGGGTAGCCGAAAATATTTATTGGAGTGACACGAAACGTAATATTATTGAAGTTTCACGTTTAAATGGATCATACCGCTATGTTGTACTATCTAACGTAGAAAAGCCGAAAGCTTTAGCTGTTGATCCGATAGCGGGGTATTTATTCTATTTGGGTGAAGATCAAATAGTACGAACAGGTCTAGATGGAAGTCAACCATTTAGCTTAGTTAACCAAACTAAAGGTGCAACAAATCTTGTGCTTGATATTGAAAATCAAAAAGTTTACTGGTGCGAAAAACTGTTCGGTGGAAATAAAATTATGAGAGTGGATTATGATGGAAATCTGAAAACGTTAATGTTGAATCACAGTTATGGAGAGCCTGTTGCTTTGGGTTTAATAGATGATCAAATTTATTGGGCTGACAACATTCCAAGTGGTGGAAGTATTAAAATGGTTTCCATTAATAATTTGTCCTACTATGAATCGATCGCAACATCTGATGGAAATCCGTTAAAAGACTTAAAAATATTTTCAAATCGAATTCAAAATGGAACTAATTTTTGTGCTGAAAATAATGGAGGTTGTCAACAGTTATGTCTGTATAATGGGACACATCCTGTATGTGCTTGCTCTCACGGAAGAGTAAGTGAAGACGGACGACTTTGTGAAGAATATGATAAATTTTTAGCGTTTTCAAAGACAACTGCTATTGAAAGTATTCATATGACAGACCCACTAAATGAAAACAGACCTGTAGAAAGCATAAGCAATGCAACATTTATGAAAAGTGTGATTGCCTTAAGTTACGACTATGATAATAAAAGAATATTTTACTCCGATATACAATTAAGATCGATTAATTGGGTATATTTTAATGGAACAGATCATAGAATCATAATAAAAAACCAATCAACCGTGGAAGGATTAGCATATGATCCCGTACACCGAAATTTGTTTTGGACTTCCAATAATGATGCATCTATAAGATCATTTTATATGAATAACTTAACTGAGAATGTGAACGAGAATTCTAAAGGAATTCAGCAAGTATTGCGATTGCAAGTTTTAGACAAGCCCAGAGGAATAGCTGTTGAACCTTGTATGGCGATGATATATTGGACAAATTGGAATACCAAAGCCCCGGCAATTCAACGTGCATATGTAACAGGTAATACAAATTTTATTTTTGGAACAAACTACATGCGAAAATAAAATATATCTAAAGTATCTAATTATAATTTTGTACGTATAATTTTATACTTGTTTAGGTTTTGGCTTGGAAAGCATAATTAAAGTTGCGATTGTGATGCCCAATGCAATAACTTTGGATTATGAGGAAAATAAATTATACTGGGCTGATGCCCGTTTAGATAAAATTGAGAGAGCTGATTATGATGGCACTCATAGAGTAGTTTTAGCGCATTCAACACCGAAACACCCATTCGCTTTGGCTGTTTATGGTGATTTATTATTTTGGACTGATTGGGTATTGCACGCAGTAGCAAGAGCCAACAAACATTCAGCGGGAGATGTAATAGTTTTAGAAGCTAAAGTAGGAAGACCAATGGGTATAATTGCTATCCAAAATACAACGAAAAACTGTGAAGCTAACGAGTGTCGTGTACTGAATGGAGGTTGTGAAGATGTGTGTATTTTGGATAAAAAAGGAAAACCAAGTTGCCAGTGCACTAGAGGTATTTTGGCATCAGATAAGAAGAGATGTATACAAAAGGATGGAATTGAATGCCCTGTTGGGTATTTTCATTGTGGTTCTGGTGAATGCATTTCCTATGAGTTTACCTGTGATCAAACGTATCATTGTATGGACCGCTCAGATGAAACTACTGGCTTCTGTATTACAAGGCAATGTCCAAAAGAATTCTTTAGATGCAATAATCATCGTTGTATTCATAAAAACGAAGTATGTGACGGTGTTCATAATTGCGGTGATGGCAGTGATGAAACACCTGAACTTTGTAATTGTACTGAGAGCGAAAAGAAATTCCTTTGTAAATCAGGTGAATGTGTTGGCATTTTATCAAGATGTGACAATTATCCAGATTGTAAAGATGCAAGTGATGAAATGGGTTGCCCACCAAGAGAATGTGAAGCTAGGGTACCAATTCCATGTCCTAATACAACGGCTTGCTACATGCAATCTTGTTAGTAAACTAATTTATAATGTTAAATCATTTTTAAAATTATTGTACTGAACTTTAGGGCGTTGTGACGGCGAAAACGATTGTTGGGACAATTCCGATGAAATAGGTTGTGAGAATGTGACAAGACCACCATGCGCACCTGGTCAATTTAAGTGTGCAAATGGCCGCTGCATTAATGAAAAATGGCGTTGCGATAATGAAGATGATTGCTTGGATGGCACTAATAACACTTTAAGCTCTGATGTAAGTAAATGGTTTTTCATTTATTCAAGTGCATTTATTTAAAAGTGAAATTTTTTCGTTAACTTATTAAGTACACTCTTTAAATTTTCTGTCTTATCTTCTCTATTTAGGAATTCAATTGTAAGGAATGCAAAGATGATGAATTTAAATGTGATGATGGTTGCATACCAAGCAAATATCAATGTGACGGAACGCCAGATTGTCACGACGGTTCTGATGAGGGCACCCAATGCGGGGAACATAATTGTAAAGACAATATGTTTAAATGTAATAGTAGTGGAAAGTGCATTCCGGAAAAGTATGTTTGCGACGGCGAAGTGGATTGTCCTGAACGAGAGGATGAGCATGATCAATGTGCGAGAATTACATTAACACGGATTGATCATTGCCTGCCACCAATGTTTTTGTGTTCAAGTGGTGAATGCTTGGAACCACAATATGTATGCGACGGCGATACAGACTGTCGTCATGGTGATGATGAATACGAGGACTGCACATCTTTTTGGCCCCACAGATCTTGTGCTCCAGATGAATTTCAATGTAAAAATTTGCGTTGCATTCCAAAAAGGAGTGTGTGTGATCTAAAAGACGACTGCTTTGATAATTCAGATGAAGACATTGAAGTTTGCAGCAATTCGTCAAAGCTATGTGCTGAACCAGAATTTTACCGTTGTGGAACAGGAGCATGCGTTCGATCAAATTTATTATGCAATGGAAGAAATGATTGTGGAGATTTTAGTGATGAGCAATCCTGTAATATCAATGAATGTTTAAGTGATATATGTGAGCATGAATGTGAAGATAAGATAGTGGGTTACGAGTGCAAATGTCATAAAGGTTTCAAAGTGAATGTTAATAACAGAAATGCTTGCGAAGACATAAACGAGTGCGAAGAAATGCATCCCTGCAGTCAGATATGCATAAACACTTACGGTAGCTACCATTGTGATTGCGTTGATGGTTTCGAACTAAAAAATAGACACGTTTGCAAGGCCACTAGCAATGAAACAGTTAAACTTATTTTTTCAAATCGTTATTATATTAGACAAGTTAATACGCAAGGAAATGGAACAATTTTGTTGCATCAATTATTAAATGCCGTAGCTTTGGATTTTGAATGGAAAACTAAGTGTTTGTTTTGGTCTGATGTAACCTCGACTTTAGCAACAATAAAACGTTACTGTCATTCAGATAATAAAACAACTACGCTGCATCAGCAAATGCTGAAAAACCCGGACGGATTGGCAGTGGATTGGGTAGGAGAAAATTTATATTGGTGTGATAAGGGAATGGATGCAATTGAAGTCTCGAAACTAGACGGAAAGTATAGAAAAATAATCATAAATAAAAATCTTAGAGAGCCGCGAGCCATTGTTTTAGATCCATATCGCAGATATATTTATTGGTCAGATTGGGGTGATTTACCATATATTGGTAAAGCTGGTATGGATGGTTCTGATCAAAAAATGATTATTCAAGATAATCTTGGTTGGCCTAATGCTTTAACAATTAGTTTTGAAACAGAGGAATTATTTTACGGAGATGCTAGAGAAGATTTTATTGCTGTTAGTGACTTAAATGGAAAAAGTATCAGGTAAAATCAATTTTATTTAATTTATTGTTTTTGAATAAGATTTGACTCCCTTTATTATATTTTAGAATACTTCTTAGTCGAAATACTCACCCAAACCTGAATCTTCATCATATTTTTGCAATTGCTGTTTGGGAAGACCGAATATATTGGTCCGATTGGGAAACTAAATCAATTGAATACTGTAAAAAGTATGACGGATCTAATTGTTCAACATTAATCACAACAATACATCGTCCAATGGATTTAAGAGTTCACCACCCTTATAGGCAGCGAGCTTTAAATACAACAAGTCCGTGCGAAAATGCTAATTGTTCCACTTTATGTTTATTGTCTCCAGAATTTCCATATTACAAATGTTTGTGTCCAAATAATTTCATTTTGGAAGAGGATGAGCGTTCATGTAAAGCCAATTGTACAGCAGCTCATTTTAAATGTCATAGCACATATAAGTGCATACCGTTTTATTGGCGATGTGACACACAAGATGACTGTGGAGATAAGAGTGACGAACCACCTGATTGTCCCCCTTTCCACTGTGAACCAGGACAATATCAATGCAAGAACCAAAAGTGCATTCATCCGTCATCTATTTGTGACGGAATAAACCAATGTGGTGATCTTTCCGATGAAGCCGATTGTGACGAATTTACTTGCTTTGATAACAATTTTAAATGTTCAAGATCTGGAAATAAGACAGCTTTCTGCATTGATATCATCAAACGTTGTGATGGAAATAAGGATTGCCCGAACGGTGAAGATGAGCATAATTGCTCTCCAATTCAATGCCAAAAAAATCAATTTCAATGCGGTAATAATAAATGTATTCCACAAGTTTGGGTTTGTGATAATGATACTGATTGCATTGATAAATCAGACGAAATGAATTGCGAGCAAAGAAGCTGTTCATCAAATGAGTTTTCATGTAAACAAGGTCGTTGTATACCAATGTCTTGGCGTTGCGATGGAGAAGAGGATTGTCAGGATGGTGAGGATGAGCCACCCAGCTGTCATTCTGCAAAAGAAAATAGTTGTGAACCAACCTATTTTAAATGTGATAATTCAAAATGCATTCCAGGTCGTTGGAAATGTGATTACGAAAATGATTGTGGTGATAACAGTGATGAAATAAAATGTCCTTTGCGTAATTGCTCAGAAAGCGAATTTAGGTGCGATTCAGGAAAGTGCCTTAAACATGACCAATTTTGTGATGGGGAAGTTCATTGCGATGATGGTAGCGACGAAAGAGAATGCAACAACAAAACCTGTTCACCAGAAGAGTTTCGGTGTGAAACTATTAGTACATGTATAAACAAGCAGTATAAATGTGACGGCGATGATGATTGTCCAGATGGGTCGGACGAAGTTAACTGTACATGTTCTGCTGACCATTTTGCTTGTGATAATGGTAAATGTATCATGAAAAGATGGCGATGTGATGGTTGGGCCGACTGCGCGGACGGTTCTGATGAAAGCTTAAATACTTGTCAAAATCACTCTTGTCATGCAAATGCCTATAAGTGCCCAAATTTAAAATGTATTCGTAAATCAGCGTTATGTGATGGAGTTGATGATTGCGGTGACGGAACTGATGAAAGCGCTTTTATTTGTTCGTCATTGCCTAAATGCCGCTATGATCAGTTTCAGTGTGATGATAACTCTTGTATTGCTTCTAAATTTAAATGTGATGGTAAATGAATAAATATTTTTTTTATTATTTACCTTGAATACAGTAATATTCAATATAATATTTTTAGGTCATTATAATTGCGCTGACGGTTCGGACGAGATGAACTGTCAATCTCCAGTATGCGGATTTGGTACATGCTCTCATATTTGCATTGAGAAAAAAGCAGGACATTTTTATTGTAAATGTAGCGATGGTTATCAAAAGGGTCCAAATAAAAACGATACTTGTTTGGCTGTGGAAATGGACCAAATCTTGTTACTAGCGTCCGAGCAAGAATTTCGTTATATATTGCCACAAAAGCATTCAAATACAATGACAATGGGTGCATTACAAACAAATAGTCTAAAGATTGATGTTTTTGATGCGCTAATTGTAGAAAAGACTAATGCTTTACTTTTCTGGATTGATTCTCATCACAACAAAATTCATACTATTAAAATTCCTAATCTCAATAATTTAAACTACGAAACAAAACGCCAAATCAGAAGTCTAGAAATTTTAAATGAATTCAATACGCCAAATATAGATGATCCAAAGTCACTTGCCATTGAATGGGTGACAAAAAAAATTTATATAATAGATTCAAGGCACAACAAGATAATTGCCACAGATATAAACGGAACTATATATGCGAGCTTAGTAGAAACTGGCTTGCACCCGACGGACATAGTTGTTGAGCCTGAATCTAGAGTAATGATTTGGTCCACTCTTGAAAACGGTATTTTAGTGGCATCTTTAGATGGTAAACATAAAAAAAGTTTAGTTGAAACCGATGTTGGATGGCCAATTAGCTTAAGCATTGATTACCCAACAGGCAGACTATATTGGGCTGACTATAGAAAAGGAACTATTGAAACTTGCTTTTTAAATGGAAAAGACCGACACGTAGTTAAACGCTTTGAAAAGAATGAGAAACCTCAAAAAATAGATGTATTTGAGGATTTTGTTTATATTAAATTATATGATCAAAGTATAATTAAACTTAACAAATTCGGACATGATAATGGAACGTATTTATTGAAAGGATACCGATCTTCTGACATAGGAATTATTCATTATCTCAAACAGAATCAAAATAGTAATTATTAAATTTATTATTAAGGTAGTTTTTTATTTATATTTTTATTTGATAGTTTCAAATCCGTGTTCAATAAATCCTTGTGATTCAAAGAAAGCTATGTGCATATTATCTTCGGAACCAAAGGGTTATTCTTGCAAATGTCCAACTGAGTATGTTATGATACATACTAGTGCCGGTGTAAGTTTTATTTCTATAATTTTAAATATTTCGTACTGCATAAAATAATGCTAAAACTACATATAAATATGTGTAAATTTTTTTTTTTTATTTTTTGATAATTGATCAAATGTTTAGAAGGAAGAATGTAAGCCAATAGAAGATTTACCAGATCATTGTCCAATTAGATGCCACAAAGGAAGATGTAAATATATAGACCATCAACCCCGTTGCATTTGTGATCCAATGTATGACGGAGAGCTATGTGATCATTATAGATGTTCTGGATATTGTAAAAATGAAGGCGTATGTAAAATAGGAGAAAATTCTACTGATGGCATACCATCTTTAATTTGTTTATGCCCACCAAACTGGTCCGGTACACATTGTGAAATTTCATTGCATGAGTGCCAAAGTCGTTGTCACAATGGTGGAAGCTGCTCAATATTGGATTCTGGTGTTTTCAGGTGCGATTGTCCAGATCGTTTTGTTGGAGAAAAATGCGAACATTGTTTCAATTTAACTTGTGAGAACAACGGAATTTGCCGGGAAACAGTTTCCGGAACAACTCAATGTGACTGTCCTGATGGGTAGGTCTTTAACTTTCTCTGCAGTGAAGTTAAATTTTTTAAGATAAATGAATTAAACATAAACGTTTTATTTGCTCTAATAGCTTTATTGGAAAACGATGTGAAATAAATGAATGTCATGACGTATGTTTAAATGGCGGAAATTGCACTATTGATATTCAAGGGCCCCAGTGTAAATGTCCATATAGATATATGGGAAATAAATGTGAAATTGATCTATGTCAAACTGAAAATCCTCCAGAGTGTAAGATTTAAAATATATTTATTGAAACTTTGTTTAAATTTTTATTTTTATTTTTTTTATTCTGCTTTAAACTATTTCCAATATCAGTTTGTGACGAAACTATGATATTCAATCATACACCATGTACAAGCAAAAGATGCCAAAATAATGGAATTTGTCACATTATAAGAAATGAGGGAATTTGTAATTGTACTGAAACATGGAACGGAGAAAACTGTGAGGTATTCTTTTTATCACCAAATTAGTTAAATATGCCTTAACTTATATTTTATTTTCACAGAAATATGTAGAAGCCGACAACCCGTGTATTGGCTACTGTTATAATGGTGGAATATGCAGGTTAGATAATGTTGATCTTCCGTCATGTATATGTATAGGGGATTGGAATGGCGAACAATGTAACAAACCACCCCAATGCTTGAATGATTGTGGTATTTGCAGGCTCGGCAGTTCTATAAACGAATGCTTGTAAATCAAAATTTATTTTAAACATTTTTTTTAACATTTTATTCCAAGAAATTGTTTTCTTACAAAATTTTTTATTTCAGATGTAGTAACGGAAGAGTAAGTAATTGTGTTTCTGACAGTAATGAGATACTTACCGAGGAAAGAGTTGACTCAGCTAAAACTCTAACAATATTGGCGGTTGCTCTTGCAGTCATAATTTTAATATTGGCGTTCTTTGGTGGTGCAATTGTTTTCTTAAGGTAATTTTAAAATTAATGCAAGATATCGATATCAACAATGAGATTTTGAAAACTTTTATTTTAATTGTTTAATTTGTATTATTTGACAATTCTAAGTTTCCCGATTTATTTTGTACACCACTTAGTTGTTTATTCTCTTGGGTTTTCTTCATGCTCTCCATTGTTAGAACGACAGCATCGACCAATCTGCTGGTGTTTTCGATGAATATGTTATATTTTTCAGCCTCCAATTTTAAATTAAGAACATTTAATTTTAATTCAGTAACTTTGTTTTCAAATTCCAAAATATTCATGAAATGCAAATCATATTGAACTTCTTCTTCCATTTCCATTTTAGTTTTACTTTATAGTTCGTGTTATACCAAATAGGAAATAGCGGTTAACAAGTTAAAAATATCTAATTGAACAAAGCATATCAAGTGTATAATTTATATAAATTGAAAAAATATATCAATTGTATAAGAAAAACAAAGACAAGAATATTTTTCAAGTTAATATCAAAGTAGTATATCCATAATAAGTTGTTTCATTATTATGTTTTCAGGCCCTTTATAATAGATATACCTGATTAATAAATAGACAATATATTTGCAAAAAAGAAACAGATGTAATTTAAAAATATGTTTCATGCCTACATGAATATATATATATATTATGTATACAAAACAACGTGAAGAAAAACACCACCGTTATAAATAAAACAATTTATTATTTGTTTTTTCTTTAGGAAAAGAAGAATATCACAGCCATTTTCCCACGCTCGATTAACAGATAATGTTGAAATTACGAACCCAATGTATTTGGGAGATGCGGACGAGGTGCCTTCTTTTGTACATGATGAGGATAAAGTTTGTTTTAATACGATAAATATAACTGAAATAATAATTTTCAAAATTGTTCATGTAATTTTAGGGTCATTTCGCGAATCCAGTTTATGAGTCAATGTATGCCGGGATGCCAATTGATCAAAATGTCACAGAAATGACTACAACTGGGCCAATAGACGAACGTAAAGGTTTATTACAACATTCTCATGAAGAAACAAATACTCAAGACATTCTTTGATAGTTAACAATTTGAAATAAAAATAGAAATTAAAAAAATTTAAAATTATTATAAATCACGATTTTTGATGCAATCAATATATTGACAGAATAAAAATGATTATAAAATTGAAAAAATAACAAACTAGGGTAAAGTTGAAAAGTGCATTGATTATAAATAAATATATTAAATTATAAAATAATAGTGAAAGTACGAATTTTTTTTATAATTTCTATAAAATTTCCGCATAGTTTATCATAAATAAAATTTTATTATGAAATTTAATGTAAATACACATGATGGCAATGCTTATTAACTGTTAGATAGCAATGTTAGAGATAATTATTGTATTACAATATGATTAAGAATAATTTGTTTTAAGTATATTATTTTATGACAAATTATATTAAGAGAAATCCGAATTCAAATTTTACATAGATTTTTTTTAAATCTTTTTTTATAATATTTTGGTTTTAATTAATTAATATCAATTTTGCTTGTTATTAGAATTAAGTCGAATAAAATTCACATTTTTTCCAAATTTGTCGAGATGTAGACATATTTTATATGCCAAAACTTTTTTTTTGCAAAAGAAAAAGAAAAAAAAATGAAACTGACTTTGTAAATATGTATGTAATAATTATTATAAAATTTGTATAATTTCATTTAATTTTGTAAATTATTGTTTATGTTGAAACTCTCTTTTAAGTATAATTTATCACCATTCATTTATATTTTAAGTTAAATGTTTTAACTTTATAAAGAAGTAGTTTTTTTAATAAGTTAATTAAAAATTGATATTACAAAATAATGAGAAAATAGATATGAGATTTTTAGTGTATAAGACATTTTAAAAAAATTTCATTTTTAAAAGAAATAGTTTAGGAAAAAATATATTACGTACGTTCAATCATATGTGTAAAGGTGTCAAAACTATTTATATATTATAATTTTATTTGTTAAAGTAATATTATATTTAATAATATGTTCTTGAATATATCATTAAAAATTCGTTTTCTATATTTAAATTCAAAAATGTTCCCAATAATTTAGGCTGACTATAAATTATTTATAACAATATAATTAATTATACATGGTGGACTTTTTGCTCATTATAATATTTTAAGTAAGATTGCAATAATTTTTAAAAAACTTTAAAATAAGACAGAATAAAAAATGTTATTGATTTGTTATCATTAAAATTGACATATAAACGGGTTTTTTTACAGATTTACCAATAATGTATTTAATTTTTCTAAAAAAAGTAATTTTATTTACGGCAGCTACTTTTAAAAGAATTTCGTTAAGCATTTAATTAAAAAAAGTAAACAAATCTGTCTTAATAAAAAAAGCAAATATATAATATATATGTATGTATATATATAAAATATATTTTCATATCAATAACAGAAATTCGCACAATAAACAAAAATAAGATTATTGTAGTTTATTAGTAAAGCAATCGAAATAAGACTCATGTATTTTAATATTAATGAAACAAACTATACATGTTACATTATTAGTAATTATATTGACAAAATATACAACTTATTATTAAATACCGTCGTTTTATTTTATTTTTATATATACATATTATAAGCATAAATATACAGAATGTGTAAGATATTGAAATCATAAAATTAGTTTAAAATTATAATGTCTGCAAAATAATAATATGGTTGATAAAAATTATTTTCCTTTTACAGTAAATGTAATTATTGAATAAAAAAATTTTCCATAGACTGTAAATAATAAAAATTTTTATTATTATAATCTTTAAATTTACTTTTTCAAAAAAACCTTGAATTCTTTTTTGGCTGTTAACTAACTAAAATAATTATTTAATTTAAATTGTTTTGGTTTTATTATTAAAATTGGCAAATAACACATTTTGAATTGAAAACGCTAAATTATATCTTTCAATAATTAATTCTTTTTGTAATATTATGTTCTAAAAATTAAAGCTACCATTTATTCATAAAAATTTAATTTTAAGCATAAAATATTTTTTAAATTAATTAAACTAAAAATAAAACATATATAAAACATGACAAGTTATTGAAATTAAAAATAAAACATATATATTATGTACATTTTGCAGACAAATTAATTTAATCCCAATTCGTACTATAACAAATGTAAAATAAAATTTATTTAAATTTTTGTTATTTCTCACGAAATAAATTGCAATAAATTTTAGAACAAAAATAATTAAAAATTATCATAATATTAAGGAAAATTTTGTTAAGATTTTTATCACGTCTATATATTATATATATAAAAACTTTTTTTATAAAATTTGTAATATATATTAAAAATGAAAGTAAAGAAAAAACGCAGCTAAATAAAAGAGTAAATTCAATACAACTTGTTTTATTTCATTAAAATTTGCTTAACATATGCTTCTAAATTAAATTTTTTATTAATTTATGTTTATTTTTTGTCATCCGCAAAACTAATTTAAGCCTTTAATTATTCTATTCTATTAGAAAAATGGAGTGTAGGGGTTTTAACATTTCCGTAAATGTTAACACTGGAAAGCTTTCAAAGCTTTATCTACAAATTAAATGTAGGGTTTTTGAAGTTTTATAGTTTTAAGAACCTGTATTTTCAGAAATATCATAGAACATCGCCAACTTTTCTTGTTTGCATGGGGATGTAGCGTCGGTATTTTAATATCCCAGATATCCCAGATATTAAAATACTGCGGCTAATTCTGTGAAGAGTAGAAAAAAAATAATTACATAATATTTGCTAACAAAATATTTTTATATATTTTATACAATATTATATACTTTTACGACATGCAAATAGTTTTATTGGTGTGCCACGCTTCTTTAAGTAGAATTTATTTATAAATTTCACAATAACTTTTTTCGTAAACATCTTTTAACTTGATGTTTCCCTTTATGTAAATAATACAGGGTTCTATTTTCGATGTATTTCACATAAATTAAAAATCAAGCAAGCAAATAATATAAAAAGCAGCTTCTTCTTTAACGTTTTTCAATGCTTCAAAATTTTAAAGCAATTGATTGCGCAATTAGCAATTACTGTTAGTATTATTAATTAACTTTTAATGTTTAAGCTATTATTAAACTAGTCCCGGTACGTTTATTTTTTAAACAAAAGCGATTGAACCGAAAGTATTTTAATGAACCTTACTTATTAAAAAATTTTTAAAATTGAAACACATAATAACAAATACATTATTTAAATAACAGATACAAACATTTTATGTATGTGTATGGTGTGTATTTACTTTCAAATGTTTGTTGATATAAAATTTGTTATTACGTTCTCAATATATAATGTTAAAAAAAGTTTCGAGATTGCATTATTGAATACTCATATCAACATCATAGACTACTTATACTAAAGCTATGAATAGAATCAAATTGTTTTAGTTACTGTTGAGGTTGTTTCTAATACCTCTAGCCCAAGTAATGTCATATTTGAAGTATGTATTAATTCTAATTTAATCAATTTTACAATCGATACAAATTTTATATTATAAACCAAGAGTAACCATGATTCTGGTTTGATGAATGTTTTTATCAAAGTTTTGCTTTAGTTTAGTTAATTGTTTTTCATATTATGCGGTCGCACGAGATTGACTTCTTATTTAACGCCATAAATGTTTTTTAAATAAAACAATACATTTAATATTGTTGTGTTTGATTTTGAATAATTTATAGTATTGGAGAAACTATTTGCATACATACATATTGTGTATATGAAAATTGGATTACAACTTTCATATATTTTTCTGAGCGATTTCAAATTTAATTAACAAAATTATATAAATAGAATAAATTTTTATTAAGTGCTACAATATAAATATATGAGTGGTAACTTAAAGCAACTATAATCATACCATAATAAATCCATAATTTTTTTTAACATAATTTTTGTATATATTCAAATCTATTATAAAATATTTGCTATAGCTGACTACAATAAATTTTTTACAATAGAATGCTAATTATCTTTAGTATTATTACTTTGAATATATGTACATATAAATATATTTGTTTATATATGGACGATTTTTACGATATTTTTAAATAAAAAAGATAGAGATGATCCTGTCAACTTTGTGATACCACAGTTTGTCAAGAGTTATGTAATAGTTGACAGAAGAATTCATTTTAAACATTTTTTCGAATTGTGGCTCTGTTAGTAAAACTCAGTCGCATGAAGTTTGTGTATCATATTCATATGTCTATTAAAAGATTTTATACAAAAATTTTATTTTATTTTGAATATTGAATATTTGTAAATTATACGTGTAGTTGTTGTATTTTTGTAAATTTCATACGTAGTAATTTTGAATATTTTAATTCCAAATTATTTGTGGAGTTGTACTATAATTGGTCGAACCAATTCTTCTAGCAAATCCAAATTTAATAAAGTTTTTAACATAAATACCATAATCAAATTCTATCCCAAATCGTTTTTGAGTTAACTATAGAAAAGACAGACTTACCTATGTATATCGATTAAAAATTTAACGTCGATCATATATGTATATGCATATGTTTATATTATATCATAGACGTTTCTTTCATGGTGTTACAAATAGACTGGTAAATATATAACACCCTTCGACCGTTCGTTTATGTACCGGTACAATAAGTGATTATAATTGTTCACACTATGTGTTTACTTATATGAAAGATTGATGTGATATTATCTTATGACAAAATAAAGAAGCAAGACATTGAATAAATGTATGTAAATTTTTCTATATATAAGATTCAGATTCAGATTTGGAGCTTTATTAAATAAATAATAAAGTAGTAGTTATTGTGTAAAATTTTTATTTATTTTACAGGATATTCCAAAAGTATCTCATTTATTCTTAAAATATGATTGAAACAAATTATAATTTTTTTAATTGTTCATTATTTTAATGTGATAAAATTTAAAAAATAAATAATAATTTACCATAAAGTAGATCATATAGCATGATATTATATAGAATTACGATCAATATTTTCTATGTTTATATTGAAAAACTAACATACTAATAAATAATTTAGCGTATCCTAAACAGAGTAATCAAGTAAAAGAATTAGATTTCTACAAAATTTTCCATATTCTATGTAGGTATTTTTAATACATTGTGTTATAAATTTTGTTTTCGGTTAATTTTCCCATTCATCAACATTTAAATTTAATGAATAACTTCGAATTTGAAACATCTTGTATATAAATTATTTAAATATTGTATATGTATAAATGTGTGTAATAATAATAACAAAATATTGGACAAAAATTAAATTTTTACATCAGTATATTAAAAATTTTTTATTAGAACAAAATTATAGGTGGCGTTTTATTTAAAATTCGGTTAGCTTTTATTATTGAATGTTATCGTTTTTGTACGCGGAAAAATCATTCCGGTTCAATTAATTTTTTATATAGTATAAACATTATATTTAAATAATAACTTTTTGATTTTACAAAAATTTATAATAATGGTAAAGAATTATTATCAGATAATAATAATTGGAGTTACTCTTTTTAGTATATTTTTTACAAGGTAATTTACATTACTCTAATTTTTTGAATTCCAATATAATATTTTAATATTTTCTTTTTAAGACAAAATATACTAAAATTAATACATAATTTTGTATATTATGTAAAATTTTAAAAACACCAAGAGGAAGTAATTAGTGCATTTTTTTTTCTGTGTTTTTTAAAACAATGATATTTCAAAAAGTTGAATAAAGATGAAGAGATAAACAAAGTAAACAGTTTTATTTTATTTAATTCTATTTATAAATTACAAACTTATAGTAAATATTTGTGCCCGTTTATTTATTGTAATGTGATAATTATATAGTATTTCATTAAAATGTAATTATCTTGAAAGTCTGTTCTAATTAGAAACAGAGTAAAAATTTTCCAATTAATTTTTGTGAAAGGTTATTAATTGATAAATTGAATTAAAGAAAGTGATATTTGCATAAAAACTCAACAAGCATTAATTTTTGCATATCAAGTTGTTAATTTGACATAGAGATCAGAATGCTTGAATATAATTTTATTAATTATTATGAAATTTAATAGTCTTAAATTAACCCTATTATAAGTAGTATAATAATTTATTTAAATATATTTACCAGATATATAAATCGGTATGATCACTCCAAAAATAATTTACCATTTAAAAAAACAAGAAAATATATAATACAAATAAGAGGAAAATACTTCAAATTAATAGAATTTCAATATTAAATATTAAAATATTTATTTATTTACATAACTATAAATAAAAAGAAATTTCTAATTTTAGATGAGCTTGATTATTAACTCAAATAATAATATCTTGTTAGTACACTATGTACCTATGTATATTCATTTAATATATTTTATTATATTAAAAGCATGTGTTTAAATATTTTACATATTTTTTAAAAATTATTCAAAATTTTCATTTTGTATGGTGTTGGTAATTAAATATATTATATATATATACATAATATAGTTAACATACATACCATTGATAAAAAATTTATTTTTTTTTTTGAATAATTATTTTAAATAATAAAATAATATTTCTTTAATCGTTTTAGATATTGGTAAAATTTGATTATTAACTTATTTGATCATATGATTCGATATTTGAGCTTTAAAACTCAACGTAAATTCTTTTTGCCTTTCAATGGTATTCTTACATTTAGAATATTCAATATTTCGAGATTTTCCTTAAAAATTGTTTACAATTTTGTTGTTATGTACGTAACAACGATTTGTGATAAATTCCAAATTTAAATCGAATTGACACAAATGTGAAAATTCAATGGGTATAATATTCTTGTTATTTCAATGGGTATATTATTCTTGAAATTTTAAAAAAAGTTATATATAGAATATGAGCAGAAGAGTGTTGAAAATAAAATCAAAAATGAATTCGGTTTAATTTTATAGACAAACTGTGATTGGACCGAATTATCATTATAATATTTCGTAGACTGGCCACGGCATATTGTGACGGCAAAATTTCTTTTGTCATTAAGCTGCACGTACGCGTGTGTTTCTTTAAATTTCAGTAATTGCGAATTTAAAGCTAATATATGGTGATAAATTTCTGGAACTATTATTGTTACTATACGGTAAAAATATGGTTAAAATTAATTAAAAGTTCCTGCTGGTTCGAATAAATATATTTATTACGAAAATTTACTTTTCAATTACCTACGTACTTAATTTAAATAATCAGTAATATATTAAAAAGAAATTGCAAAATTCATATACCAAACTGTGCTTTGGACATTGTTGATTGTGACCGCAAGTATTGATTTTTTTTGAGACTTTAATTAATTTTGTGTTATTAATCAAAATAAAATTAGTCAATTTTATTTTATAGTTACAAATGTACATTTTTTTTTTAAATCTGTTTACTGTGCCACATTTTCTATGTAATAGATCCTATAATCATACATAAATATTAATTGTTGAAAAATTTAAAATTTCTTGTTTTTTGGGACCTCTTCAATTACTTAAATTGGAAATTATATGAACAATTCTAGCAATTATAACAAAAATTTTCGCGAAGGTTATAAAAACATTTTATTAAAACTGGATTGGATTGGTTTGTCAAACTGTTTTTTGTATTACGTACAACCAAAATTAAAATCATCTATATTAATTAATATCATCATATATATGCAGGGTGATTCAGCAAAAATATAGGAGCCGATTCTATCGGATACACGGTCGAAAATGAGTAAAATTTTTGTTCGGAACATAGTGTCAAAACGGAATCATTTCCGAGCTACATGGATTTTAAGGAAATTTGGCGAAATTTTGATATACCTAAGTTTTTTTTGTTTATAACTTCCGTTTGAGAAAGTATAGAAGCTTCAAACAAACAATTAGGCGGTTTAAAGAATATTAGAGGGTTTAAATAAGAATATATATAATAAGAAAATATATAATACAACTTTAACACGTTTTTTTTTCAAAAATACAAGCATTTGAACTTTGGAACAACTTCAATTTCTCCTGCAGCTCGAAAATGGTTCCGATTTTGCACTATGTTCCCAAGAAAAGTTTTACTCACATTCCCCCACTTGCCCGATGGTATATGACTCTTAACCTGGTACTGAATCACCCTATATATATATACATATGTACTTATATATGCGTAAATCAAATAGCACAAAAAGCTCTACTGATATTTTTAAATGTGATAATTATGTTAACAATTTACATTGCGTATGTGATCATATATCAAATCTTAAACTACTATTTACATTGTCCAGGCTATTTATATCATTTTATTTATTTGTTTTTTAAAAATAAATTTGTAATAACTCTCTTTTTTAAGAATAAAATATTTACGATTATGAGTTTTTTTCAGTAATTTATTTTAAGAGAATTTTAGATTTTTCAAAATAAAAAGTTCATAATTAATATTTATGCCACAATCTAATTTTAATTTTTTTGTATTTATAGTTATTCTGTAGCCGAATTTGATATTCATATACCAGTGGATCACGGTACCTGTGAAAATTGGACAACAATGCCAGAAGCAGATGTTGGAAATTGTACAAAAAATGGACGTGTTTTACATTGTTTCGGTGGTATGGCTAATGTACATGTTATGAAGTAATTATAAACTATTATTTACAATTCTTAATCTTAAATTGTAAAAATTAATAATTGATTTATTAATGAAACAATTGGCCATAATTGAGTAATTTTGTGAGACATAAATATTTTTTAGTCCATCAAAAGTTAAAAAAATTGAAGAACTTATATTATGCGGTTGGCCAAATGAAACATTTGATCCGCAATTAATATTACCGCAATTTCCAAAAATTCGATATCTTAAAATTGAACATGGTCAATTAACATATATTCCAAAAGCGTTCCCGGAACTTCATCATTTAAAGGTTAGTTTATTCAAATTTTCGTCGTACGGTATATATGCAAATTATAAAATTATATATGAGCTAATTACATAGAATATTGGACTATTATGTAGAAGTTTGAAATTTCAACATTAATGTATGAATACTTTCATTTTAGAGCATTAATATATCTTGGACTAATCTATCTAATATTCAACAAAATTTATTTAAAAAACTTCACAACCTAAAAGAATTGGATTTAAGATGGAATCATTTAGATTTTATAGAATACCCGTTAACAATACCAGAAACATTTCAGCATTTATATTTAGATGGTGAGTAATAACTGCTAAATAAAAATTTTAAATTCAGTACAATTTCATCTTAAAGTTTCATGAAATCGATGTAAAATTTTTTGTTAACAATTTAATACTACATGAATATCAATTGATTACTCAAAATGTTGTATAGATCACAAATCACAAAAATATTGCATAGATTTAGACACAAGATATTCTAATTAGTTCTTTAAAAAAATTTTAGGGAATCCTTGGAATTGTACAAAAAATTTGGAATGGATTTTAAATCCCATAAATAAAGATCGTATTGTTGATCGAGAATTATTATTTTGTGCTGATAAATTATATAGAAGTAAGGCTATAATTTTAAAATATTATGCTTAACTGCCCCGACCAATTACAATATTATAAAATGAAATAAATTTTTAAAATTTTTTCAGGCAGACATTTAATGACAGTATTACATTATCAAGTGGTAAGTATACATATAAAAATACATAAAATTGAGATTTAGAAGAAATAAAATTATATTATAAGTTCTATTTGATTTCATTTCCGAAAAAACAGGTTCTAAGGACAATGTGTAATAGTGTAGAATTAAAGAATTGTACATGTACTATGCATTATATAACAAAGAGTGAGAATGAGCGTTTAACGCCGATTTATGCTGTTAATTGTTCTAATTTAAATTTAACACGATTTCCATCATTCGTACCACAGAATACAACAATTTTTTATGCAAATAATAATAAAGTAAGTAATGAAATAATAGAATTTCTTTTAAATTTCTGGAAACTGTTATACGAAATTCATGTGTACTTGTAGGAAAGATTTCAAATATTTTTATGAATTTTTTATTTTCATTTTTAGATCTCGGATTTGCGGCCATTAAGAAATAATCCAAATTATAGAACTGTTGTTGATATTTATTTAGATAATAATCGTGTACCAAATATTGATGTTTTAGAAGCTGGTTATTGGTTACGTCATTTTCGTGTATTTAGTTTACGTGGTAATCGTTTAACAAAATTACCAATTTATGCATTAGATAATGCATTAGAATTTAATAGTAATGCAGTTTCATTATATTTAAGTAGGAATGCATGGCGTTGTGATTGTAAGTTTGCAATGCGTTTTCATGAATTACTTTTAAAATATTTAGAAATAATTGTTGATTCAGCTAATATAACATGTAAATATTTTGATGGTGATCGCAGTTATACATTAAATGTATTAAATATAGAAAGAAGTACTGTATGTAAATTACCAAATGAAAATTCAAAAATTCAACCAATAGATTTAGTTAATTGTACTTTAGCATTTTTAATTTTATTTGTATTTACAAAATTAGGTTATGATTATTATCATTATAGAAAATCGGGAAGACTGCCATGGATTGTAACGAAAATTTTATAAAAATTAAATTTAGCAGAAATATACTTAGATGTAAAAATTAATAATAAATTTATATTTAATTAATGAAAATCTTTGAAAATGTATTAATGTATTGTAAATGTATGTATGTAGGTTAAAGCTTTAAATTGTCGTTTTGCTAAAAAATGTTTCAATTTGGAACTAATTCAATTTTTGGATTTTATTAATTTTTTATTATTTGAAGGATTCTTATTTTCTTCTAAATTAAATTGTTGCGGCGTGTTTTAACTATGCATTATTAAAGACGCGTTCCAATTCACGAAGATTTTAGAAATTTATAAACTTTCTTAAAATATTGTTCTATTTTAAAAAATCATATTTTAAAAAATCAAAATAATCCTCCATATATAATAATAAATGAAAAATAAGACAAAGAGAAATTAATAAAAAGAACCTTATTGATTGCAAAAGGAAAGCATTGAAAAAATAATTTTTTTTTTCAATTAAAAGTTCAAAGTACTTTAAGACTTTCATAATGTACAGTAAAAAAATTTTTTTTTCTTCAAATTTGAAAAAATTCTTTTTCTCTACTAAAATTTTCATAAAATAAATGAGGAATTTTTCTAAAAAATTTTATTAAAAAAATTTCAAAGATGAGAAACTTATGACGTATCATATTTCCCACAAGAATAATTTCTCACGCGAAATATTTGATAACAATAAAAAGCAAAAAAAATACTTTTTGTTTTCATCTTTTTTCTCATGTTTGTTTCATTTTGTTCATTATGTAGCCAATTCATCCTTAAATTAACCTATAAACGTGTATATGTATTATGTATATAAATTCAGATCTAAAGGATATTGATATGTAGCATAAAAATTAAGCATATTCAAGACTACAAATAAAGAAGTGTTGCCATATTCTCTATTATTTTAGAACATTTTACTACATTATTATAGATTTTACATAGATTTGACAAAAATATTTCTGAAAGAAAATTTAACACTTTCTGAATATACAAAAAAATTCTAATTTAAAAACAAAAATTTATGCCGGGACAATTAGTTAATTGCTAAGATCGGCGAAATGAGATTATGATAAGAATTTTAAGAAGATTAACCATATAATTGGTAACTGACTTTTTAGCGAAAGCAGCTCTGTAAATTGTAAAGAGCAGGCAATTAGTAAAATATTTTTAGTTTTCCCAGCTTACAAGAAATCATTTAAAGTCTTAATCAACTGTTGTAGTCAAAAATGTTCAGCTTCGAAATATTTTACTTTTAAAAAGCTTTAACGGCAACTCTATTTTTTTACATAAAAGTAAATGGGATCATTTTGCATATTTTTGTATGTAGTTTTCTTTTTCGTGTTCGCATCTTTTTATCTTCTTTTAATATTTTCTCTCTCATTTCTGATGGATTTTTTCAATACCAATATGTAGATAGTATTTTTTCATTCTTGATTTGATGCATTTTTTTTTTATATGTAAACCTTACTTACTTTTGGTTTTCGTATAAAAAGAAAAAGAGATCATTCAAAAATGTTAAGTTAAAATGTTAAAAAAAAATTAAAGAATGGACTAATGTTTATTCTTTTCAACAGGTTAAATTCCCATGGCATATGGGCAGACATGAGCAAAATATTGAATTCAATCAGAAAAAAATGCATGAATAATTTGAAAGCAAAGTATTTGCCTTGTAGTATTGTAATGTAAAGACAAAATATAAAATTAAAATAAAAAATTAAATTAATTGCTTTAATTCGTGATTGATTTTGTACGCTTCCATGATTTCAAAAATAGAAATTTTTCCGAGATTCTACATATTTAGAGTACTAACTTACATATTATATAGAATTATTCTATAAAGTATGAATTGATTATTGCTGGCATAATTTTCAATTCAATTGATCATCAATATTGAATTAATTTTAATTGAAATGCAGTTTGATGCAGTTATTTGTCCATGTCTGTCCATATACCAATGGATACACATATGAAAAATATGCCATGTTTATAAACATTTTAATAATGATCTTATTTTGGCTTTTTTTTTTAGAAAGTGCAAAGTGAATAAAAAAAAATTTCTCAAAATAAAAACGAATTTCAGTGTTCAACAATCTATGGGACAACATTTAAAATTTGAGAAAATTTTTGGTTTTATACTTTGAATTTTTTATATATTTGTAATTGTTTATATTGACTAACTCTTCAGGTAATAATGGTATATCCTTGATTTTAATTTTTGGAAATAATATAAAAGCCATTGAACAGGTAGGCATCCTTTTACAAATAAAAATCTCATGAGAGAATAATATTCTACTTTTATAATATTGTGATAATTTTTTTTTGGTAAATGGGACACATATATTTATAGCCACATATAGATCATATAAGGAGTTAAGAAATTCGTAATACAATACCGGTAAAAAATATTGAATTAATAAATTAATAAAGATATTTGAAATAAAAGAAGAAAATTTTAATTAAATGGAATTTCACAAGTAAAATATACTACAAATATATGCACATATATAGAAATATGACATTAAAATTTTTGCGAATTTTCGAAAGACGTATACGCGAAACCCACAAGTCATAAAAATTTCAAAGATTGGCACAATATTATCCGTAAAATAATTACTATTGACCTTGTTATAGACACAAACCATTTGTATGCATTGGCTTGTGTTTATAGTAATAATTTTCAATTTTTTGCTATAGAAAACATGTAACCCTGGTAATGTGTACTTTAAAGATCCTGAAACGCTTTTATGATAAAATCAATATTTTGGTTTAGCAATATACTGAATCAAAATTTATTCATTTCACTCTAACTTATTGATTCCACAAGAATGATACTTTTATTTTCTCTGGCACTGTATTCATTTTGTGCAAGCATAAATGTAGATCAAATAAAAAGAACCAAAAGTATATTGTACATAAGAATCAATTAATGTATATAAAATGTACATATATAGCTATATATTTACGATATTGTATTATATTTATGATGAGAACAGGTACAACAGGTACAAAGAATATTTTTGTTATAATAAATACAAAAATATGCGATTAAGAATGAAAAAAATACAAATAAAAAATTCAAGGGAGAATGAAAACAAAAAAAAAAACAATCAAAATTGTTAGATGAGATGCTGAGAATTTTTTTTTTCAAATCTTCATGAAAAGTTCATATTATTTAGGTTTTGCTAAGTATGTATGAATTTTGTAGGCGTATGTATACATTTAGCGTTAACAGGACTAATTTCCCAAGAAATGAAAAGATTACATGGATTTCAAACTGAAAAAAAAATTAATAGGATTCATAATGTATAATGTTTGTGTTATGTATATATGCATTTTATGTAGCGATAATAGTTAAGAGAAGGAATTCATTTGTTCTCATAATTTGAAGGATTCATTTAAAAGGTCCTTGTTTTCTATATACATATTTGTATTAATATGTTAAGGATATTTAAGAGATATAGTTTTATTTTTTTTTTTATTTTGATAATTTTTATGTCAACAAAATAGTTTTGAGGACATGAGTTTTTCTTTTCTTTTCTAAATTATAAATTTTGTTTCTATAAATTGTTATAAAAAAAAATGCTGAAGAAGTTCAACTTTCTTTAAAAGGTTGGTGGGATCAATTTATACCTACATGTATGATTGTCAAAAGTAAAGGCTTTAAATATGAAGAAAGCAACAATATGACAAAAAAAATAAAGGTACATACATAGCGAATATGAAAATAAATTTTGATTTTTTAAATGTAAATTTGTATACAAAATTATTATAAGGATGATGTATAACAAATCTCACATAAGAACAGGTAAGGTAAATATTTTACAGGTAGAATTTTATTCATTTTGTTTTTTAATAAAACGGAAGTGTTATGTCATGATTTAATTAGAGAATTCAGGGGATAAAATATTTTTATATACAAAAGATTTAAATTTTGTTTTGAATGTTTTAATGCAACAATATTTTAAAAAGAACAGAAAATAATTGAATTCGGAATCGGAAGTAGTTATAGAAATTTTCGTATTTGTTTTTTCTCTTTTGTGAATTTGTTACTATTATATTGTATAATACTTAAAGAGAAACGGAAAAGGATTATGATAACGGTACTTTTTTTTTGAAAATCCTAACCTAAATTTTTTCACTATTTATTTTTCTAAATTTAATAGAATGTATGGCGCCTACAAATTTGGTAATTTATATTATCTATATATTTTCATATTGGATATACTTAATAGGAAATAAAATTCTTTAACTGCATTCTGGATTTTGTATAATTGAAGAATTTGGAAACTACATCCGGTACATTTATTGCTAATGATTATTTTTAAAATGCTACTTTTGTATACTTATTTTTCTTCACGTAAGTCAAATTTATCGAGATTTTGTGAAAATTATGAATTAAAAATTTAAAATTTTAAATTAAGTAAAATTCTGATATAATGCGATAGTAAAAAAACATAAGAATATGAGAACTAAATTGACGTGTATTTATATTTTTCAACCCTAAATTTAAATAAATCAAAAAAAATTTTATGGGGATAATTTAGTTATAGTTACGGAAGCAACTCCCAGATATTTGTGTACTAAAATTCATTTAATCACAACGTTTAAGTAAAAAAAAAATTAAAATCGCGCTCGATTTACAATTTTTGATCTATTAAACTTCTACTGCAAAAGAACTAACTATATTTTATAAAAAAAACTTACAGCTTCAGTTGTATAGCCCATATTTCGATTTACAAGGAAGATTTCAATTTCAAATAATTATATTTTCAAGCATTATAAATGAAATGACTAATTTAATATAATATATGTATTTATAGAATTTAGACTTGTTTTTATAAATGAAGGGTACATAATATCACTATAGAAACCTTATAAAAAGCGGCAAACAAATGTTTAAGGGGTCACAAGGAAAAAATGACAGGTGAAAAGAATTTACTTTTTACTTTATTGTTTAAAAAATAGTTTATACTCGCGAATAGTTTCAATTAAACAGAACTAATAAATATTTTAAATAATAAATAAATTCAATATAAAATTGAATTAATTTAAAACTTATATTTAAGAAGCTATAATGCTTGATAGTTTAGAAAAACCATCATTAGATAGACCCGAAACAATTCAAGATATTGCTATTAAATTAGTTGAAGAACAACTCAGAATTTTTCAATTGGAAAATGGTCCAAAAGAGAGAACTGTTTTCATTTTGGGCAGTAAAGGTGTTGTAAGTATTCTTATACTAAAAATATTTATCAAAAAAATAAAATTTATTAATTTAGGGTAAATCTGGTATAATAAATAAATTTTTTGATCGTGAAGAAAATTCTAGACCAACATTAGCATTAGAATATTCATTTGGTAGAAGAAGTCAATTACCGCAAGATTTACATAAACAAATTTTAAACGTATGGGAATTAGGAAGTTTAGAAAATTCAAATCAATTAATTGAAGTACCAATGAGATCACATGGATTAACAAATTTTTCTGTAATAATAATGTTAGATTTATCACAAACAAATCGAATATGGACTGATCTATCAAGTGCATTACAAGGTCTTCGTTCTGCCTATAATAGATTAGCAAATGGTAGTGAAGTTATACAACATCGTGAACAATCAGAAGAACGTGTTAAAAAAACTCATCCTGATTTAGGTACAATGGATTTATTTTGGTTTCCATTAGTTATTATTGGTGGAAAATATGATATATTTCAAAATTTTGGTAAGTTCCTATTTAATTCAAATGTTTACTTTTACTTTTATAAAATAAAATAAATTTTAGATCCAGAAATCAAAAAACATGTATGTCGCTGTCTTCGTTCAATATCTCATTCACTTGGTGCTGCTCTAGTTTTTTATTCAAATGAAATACCAAAATTATCAAAAACTGTACGAGATACAATTAGTCATTTAGGTTTTGGTAGTCCAACAAATCCATTTCGTTCACATTCATATGATTATAATGAACCATTAATGATATGGTTTGGTCAAGATAGCTGGGATAAAATTGGTACAACACCTGGAAATTTTGAAACAATTGGTATAAATTTTGAAACTCATATACCGCAAGTTCAACCAACAAAATCAATATTACCAGATGATCCAACTTTTGATCCAGGTTTTAAAGAAACTGCAATCGATGAGATGAGAGCCCAAAAAGATGAAGAATTATTATTAATTATGAAACAGGGTGATATTCGTGGAAAATTTGAAACAATTAAAACTTAATATTTTATACAATATTCAAAATTAGAATATTGTAAAAATTAATTGGTTAAAAAAAAATATTGTGCATTAGTGATAAAAATGTTGTTTTTAAATTTGGTATAGCATTCACTATCTTTTACCACTTGTATTCGATATCTGATTAATAGGTTCCTATATTTAAACACAATAGACTTCATCGAAAATAAGAAATATTTCAATTATGCTATACAAAATTATTTTACTAAATTTAGTAGTTTTTTTGATTGCACTCTATAAAACATAATGTTCACTTATATGAAAGACTTGAAAAAAATCACGTTTTTGTATAGATATTTTGTAAATTTAAAGTCATGTACACATATATGTACATTGTTTATATAATTCGTTTCTGTAAAATGCGATTGATTGCCAATCAAAAACGTAATATTTTAAAATTACAACGAAACAATTGGCGTAGTATAATTAAAACTCAATTTTGTTAAAAAACGTCTATAAGCTTTAAACGCGTGCGACATCTCGGAATTGATCCTTGTATAAAATATTGTATATAAAATGTTCGCGTTTAAATGAAATATCAAAAATAATGAAAATCACATTTTAGATTTAGCGCCGGTCACTTGGAATTCGAAATTCGATTTAAATGCAGAACGCCCTGGGCTATGCTCGGTATTTCAAATGTTGATGTACATTTGAATGCAATATGTGTAACTGAATTATTTTTGTAAAAATTGTTCTTTTTAACTAATGTAAGGATTGTACTTTTTAAAATAGAACTACTGTAACGGCCCGGTCCTGCATGTAAACCTATATTTAACAAGTGATTATAAAATTTTGAATATTAGTAGTAATTTATGTAAAAATAAATTTACAGTATATATTTACATAACATTTTGGTATTTATCATTTTAAATAACATAGATTTTACAAAATAAATTTACTCGAAATATACACATTGTAAAATTACACATATTGTGTGTAAAATTTCCTTAAAAAATGTAATATTGAGTTTGTAAATCTAAAAGCCTTCGCAAATGTAATTGTGTATTTTACTGAATGATTTATGCTATTTAAAATTTTTTGTATATTGAATTTGTATTTAAACAAAGGTTTGAAAATATTAATAAATATTTATATACAAATTCCTTAAAATTTTTATTTCAATTACTAGGATTTATATTATATTCAGGAAATTTAAGGATCACATTTCTTATTTTACTTAATAGCGGCTTTAAACACAAAATATATGCAGAGTTATAAAAATCTTTTTTATTTAATATATTGAATAGTATAATACTCGTAATAATGATTTTTTTTTTCAATTTAAAAAACCTTTTTTAAAAATTAACCTTAATATGGGTAGGTACTTTTTGTACACACTTTAAAATTTATTGTGATTTTTATGGTATCTATAATGTAAAGGGAAATTATTAACTAATAATTACAAAAAAAGAAAATTTTATTTTCATAGAGTTATAAAAATTTAATTGTTAATTTTTGTTTTAAGACAAAATATAATTTCTTAGAAAAATAGTATATTATCGAATCTAAAATAGTGTAATATTAAAAATCAAAATTTGAAAAGGACTTTATAGCACATTTTTGGAAAATAATATTATTTGGTCATACCTACATACATTATAAACTCTTATTGAACGTGTTTTAAGGTTAAGTTTTCCAATATAGAGCTATAAAAAAAAAGTAAGAAACAAAAACTGAAAGTAATAAAGAAATAAATATTCATAATCTATAAAGGACGAATGAAATAAGATAAAAATTCCTTAGAAATAATAAAATTTTGTTCTTTCAGTGTCTAAATTATATTATTGAAATAATTTGTCTTGAAGGTGTATACTTTAAGAAAATATTATTTGTAGTTACTGTTATCACCACTAGGAAGACTCAGAATGAATTTATTAAGTTTTTTTTTCCATAAAAACACTAATAATTTTTATTATTTAATCAAATTAAAATTCAATTAATCTTATCTGATATTTTCATAGTTTGGAGATTTGACTTGATATTTGAGTTTAATAAAAAATTTATTATATATTTCCAAGTATTTTTCGTAATTGCAGCAAGATTAATTATGCAATATTAAATTTATCTTGAATATCTAAATTTAAAAACCTTAGAAAATTATTATATGAATTGCAATCATTGAATTAAACAGTTCAAATTTCAAATTGTAGTTTGACATGATGTGGTCCAAAGAGAATTTGTTAATTCCCATGACAAAAATGCTTGTCAAATTTTAACACTTTGTCAAGTCATTTTAATTTGCAAATGGTCTCATTTATGCGATAGTATATTAAATTGCATTCATAGTAATTGATTTATTCTGTTGTTTTTGTAAAAGAGGCGATCACGTCAATTTTGTGTCGTATGAACTTGAGCTCTATATCTCGTTTGATGTTATTGCAAGAATCAATACTACTTGCGCTAAACATTCAATGGAAATGTATTGTGTTTAATTAACTTTTTTAATGTATTTTGGTTTGGGTTCAATATAGACTATTTTTTTAAATTTTACAAGTTATAAAGTAATTATTGCGTTTGTTTTACTATATATTTCGCAAATTGAACTTGCATATAAAATTTAAAAATCTTCAAATCAAAAATTGAGAGTTACAAATTGTAAAATAAAAAAAATAAAAGTAAAAATTTGTCAAGCGTGCCAATTTTCTTAATTGTATAATTTCAATTTTTTTTATATTAAAAATTTAAAAAGAATAGAAGAAAATACAATTTTATTTTATTATAGACACGCGTTACAATCCAGGTGAAATTTTTTTTTTCAATTTATTTCTACATGTTTCTTGAAATTTTTCTTAAAGATAAATGACTTTATGAAGGGAGCAAAAATTCGAAGGTAAAGAAATTATACTTACGGTATACCAAGTTGAGTTGTAAGTTAAAAAAAACAAGATTACATTTCTTTCCTTTTTTATTTTAGAATAAAAGTAGTAAGTTCCTCTTTTTATATTGTACACTTCTTAAGATTTATTTTTGTATATAAAATTCATTTTTTTTTAGTCGATAAAGAGGGTAGCGTTGCCCAATTCCAGGTGTTCCGAAAATGATTAAACAATATGTTTAAAATCATTTTGTTATTTTATTTGTAAAATCATTTTTGGTTTATTTTACATGATGTAATAAAAAAATAGATAAATCTTAAGTTATAAGCGTCAAGAAATAAGAGAAGACGCTTCAGTAAAAATTTAATGTAATTTTTTTTTTTAATATTTTTTACATTTATGGTAATTATGATCAAATGTGATAAAATATTCTGGCAAAACTTGTTATAATTTACAATATTGTTCATATAAACTGAATAATTATATTAATGTTTATTTGCATTAGGTAAGGGTTCCTGGATGAGTCTAAAATTTTCCTAAAATAATTACATTTGATTAAATTTCATATAATCAAATCCGAATGGTTTAAATTTATAAAATCGAAATACTTATTAGGATGTTGGATATTATTTTAAATTACTTTTAATGAAAAAGTAAAATTTCACTTTAAATTTGTATGCAAGATATACCGGCAAATTTCTTTTGCGAAAAATCAATGTAATTAACAAGATGTTTAACAAATGTTAAACATAATTATGTAGTAGCATAATATTTTGAAATAAGGAAAATATATACGTATAATTAAAACTTAATATTACATCCCTTATTTTATTGTTAAAGAAATTCCGGCAATCGGCATCGGAAATTATTAGAAATTATACGTGTAGGAATAAAGTGTTTCACGGTTACATCATTAATTATCGCCGGCAGTAATTTCTCTTCATAAGTAAAATTCATTTTAAAAATTAAAAAAAAATTCTTTTCGATTTTATTTAATTTAATGATGCTCTTAAAATTTAATCTTTGAATACAAAACATATTTTCGTGAATATTTTGGATGAATAACTGAAGCAGGCATAAAAATTTTCATTAGTCATCAATCAAATTTTAAAAAAGAATATAATTTTTAAATAAATAGCCGCTGTAAACAATAAGGATATTTAAAAATTGATCAGATTGACTAGCTGACCATTTTTTATGTTTTTTCTCAACCACAAGAAATAAAATAAAAAAATTAAGCTACAATAATTTCCAATCAATGTTATTGAAAACTCCTTTTTCCCATACATTGATATTCTCTTGCCGAAGAAAATACAATGTTGCATAGATGCATGGGAACTTTTGCATTTTTTTTTTTAGTTTTTGTTATTCGATTGAATCCCGGCTTAGAATTTTGAGTAAAGAAGAAAAGATAAAATAAAGAACACAAAACAAAATAAAAATTCAAAACGCAAAAATTCAATTGATTATGTGAAGAAATTCGGTTATCCTTTTTTCCGATGTACATTAAAAGTGTGCATATGTATGTACAACATGCAGATAATATATACGAACAAAATACGAGTATGCAGATATATTCATGTACCTCTTTTCAGTAAGTTTTCAAATATACGTGTATGTTGTTCACAATACTGTGTGTAAGTACATATGTATGTATAAAAATGCAATAATGTTTATTCATTCATATTATGTTGTTTAAAAGAAAAATAAGATAAGAAGAAGTAAAGAAGCAGTTTAAAAGAGGAAAGAGAACAAATATAAGAGAGAAAATGAAGAATAAACATTTATCGTGAGAAAATTTCTGCTGATAAATAATTACTTAAGAATCAATTTAATGATAAGATATTACGATTATTATAATGCATCTGATGGAAGGTCATACAAAATATGTATTTCAATATTATAAGTAATATTGCGGTGTATATGCATATAGATAGATATATGTATGTATGTGTTTGTGTGAAGCAAAATGAAAAAAAAAAAATAAATTTCAGAAAAACCGCAACCACAGAAATTTTTTTGATTTATTTAAAACTAAATTATGTAACATATTTATAGGCGCAATGATCATGTTTATTACCACACAAATTTAATGCATAGTAAAATTCCGTTTATTCGAACTACTTATAACTCGAACTTGTCTTCGAGTCGAACTTTCGTTTACTG